GTGTTGGTTACTTCCTTTCCTCGTGTTGGTTACTTCCTTTTCTGCCTCCAAATTGGAAGACTGAGACTTTATTAGTTTGTGTGGGATCAGATTTATCCAACATATTGTCCATGCCTAAAAGACCCAGATAGCTTTCGAAGTGACTTTTGTTGATCAGTGATGGGAGAGCGTGCACACACACACACACACACACACACACACATCCAGAGTCTTCAGTGACAGTGGAGTACTAGCAAACCCCAGTGAAAACTCAACTTCTGATTCTCAACCTTATTAGGAGTTAGGAGTCCTCCATCTTGACTCCTCTGGATGCAGGGCCTATTGGACAGCACAGGTCTGCGAAGCTAGCTCTGGCACAGAACTTTCCAAGTTAACCCCAATTTCTTCTCCTTTATTAGAGGCCACTCTGATTTAATCCTCAGTTCTCTCTAGTGTGGAAATGGTATACGCATTCACCCCCAGTTAGTTCCCTAGTTTAAAAGCCTTTTTAAAAAGGCCTCTGGGAGCCTGGTGCAGTTGTTACCTACTCTTTTCCTATTGACAGACAGCAGTGAAAATGCTTGCTGTGTCTCCTCCTTCCTAGCTTACCCAGGATCCCTATCTCCAGGAGGCTGCAAATTGGGCCTGCAGCTCCATAGTAAGAAAACCTCCATGACACTGATAAGGAGCTTCTCCTGAGTCACGATGCCCCACCCACCAGGTTCCCGCCCCATGTGCCACCAACCAGCACTTGAGCATGCTGAGAAAACCTCCCACCCAGCCCTTTGTCCTGGGTCCAGAGTCTGTGCCCTACCCACGCTGCACACTAGGGACTCCTGCAGGCCCCACATAATATGCGTCTTTTGTTTTCCAACTGCTGAGGACCTTAACCCCCAACTCCCGGCGGCTCCTGAGATCCCAGAGAAAGCAGGGTCAGCGTGCGAGCTTGGAAATGCAACTCACACTGGATTCTGTGGCTTGCATGCTGCGTGCCCCCTCAGAGGAGCAGGTAGGCAATCTTTCAGAGCCAGAGACTAAAAGCAGCTTTCATGCTTCTGGTATAGATAATTCTGGGGAACAGGTTGAGGGCAGTTTTGGGAAGAGGCTCTGTAGAGGAAGAGAAGGTCAAATGTGGCTCAGAGCTGACTGCTAACCCCTCCCACATTCAGGGACCTGTGGCAGCCCCCTTGATACCAGAAGGCATGGACAGCAGGGAAGATGAGCCCAGGAGCTGTGTGGTGTGTGGGGACAGAGCCACAGGCTATAATTTCCATGCCCTGACTTGTGAGGGCTGCAAGGGTTTCTTCAGGTGAGAGCCTCCTCCCTGGCAAACATCACCCTGCCCGACACACACACTCCTATCGGGCAGCCCTTACACCCTGGCGTATGCCTGGGTGTATCCAGGTTCTCCTATATCTGAGTGTAGCTATCTTGTGACTAGCACCCTGTGACCACAACACTGCATAAATTGGTGGCACAACAGAGGGCCACATGTCTGTCCCATGCACACAGCCCATTAGTTGAGGGCCCTTATATTATGTACCTGCAAAGCCCCAAACTAGCACTACACCAGCTGGGCTTAGCTGAGTGAGATCCTGTGTTCCCATGAAAATGCTTGACGTGTGTCATACTCTCCACCCCCGGGGACTTTTGGTCATAGCTCAGATTAGCCCTTGCTGCCAGATTCCCAAAGCTTTTAGTCCACATCCTGTTGGCCCTTCACATTCCCACTTGCCTGGTCCCTGCCAGCCCAGACCCTAACAACGTCTCTGTCCCTCATAGACGAACAGTCAACAAAAGCACTGGGCCCACCTGTCCCTTCACTGGAAGTTGCGAAGTCAGCAGGGCCCAGAGGCGCCGCTGCCCAGCCTGTAGATTGCAGAAGTGTCTAGATGTTGGCATGAGGAAAGACAGTGAGTCCGCCCCACTGGCCCAAGAACCTATTGACTGAGTCTCTGCTTTGTCTTTGTTCCCAATAGCACATTTGCTAAATAGCAGGCAGCACAGGCTTCTTGAAAGTAGTTGGATTGTGTTACTATTCTGCTCAAATCTCTAATGACTCCCCATCACTCTTCAAGTATGTACGTGGGCTCATGGTCTAGCTTCTATACAGCACCTTTCAGGCTTTATTTCCTCTTTCTCCCATGCTTGGTCCGTTCCAGCCACACTGATTTAAGATGCCACCCTAGAACACATCAAGCTTGCTCTCCCCCAGGACTTTGACACTTGCCTTCCTTGTGCCTGAAATGCCTTTCCCTAGATCAGTGATGGCGAACATTTTAGAGCTTGTAATGATAACAGCCTGCTGCGGCATGCGTGCTATAGGTTTACAGTACTGCTCTAGATGTTCACATGGCTTGCCTTTGCTCTCCTATTTCTTGAGTACAGTGTGTGCCACCCAGTGGGAACTCAATACGTTATGCTTTCTCTGTGCCAAGTAGCTGTCAGTGGGGGCCACGGAAGGCCTGTTGCAGAGCTGCAGTCAGAATTTATTCAAGCTATAGCCTGTCTGGCTCTCAGACTCACTGTTCCCATCACACTATCTTCAGTATGGAGCAGAGGAGAGGAAGCTGAGAGGCCAAGCATCTTGGTTTGAATTTAGTCTGCATCCTGTTTGGTTGTTTGTTTGTTTGCAATACTAGGGTCTGAGCCCAGGGCCTTCACACCGAGCTACATCCCACCCGCTTTTTATTTTTTATTTTGAGACTAGGTCTCGGGAGACTCAAACTTGTGACCCTCCTGCCTTAGCCCTCCAGAGTTCTGGGATGACGGGTGTGTCCACCACTCCCAGTTGTCACTTATTTTTACTTTGGACTTAGCACTAGAATCTAAGCTTGTTTTTGCTTCTGAAAAACATGAGTAATGCTTGCCCTGTCCACCACAGTGTTGCCCCATCCAGTGGAACCAAACCCCAGCACCTCTGAAATGACAATGCCATGTGTTACAGTTTGTATCCACAATGTCCCCTCAAAGCTCAGGTACTTGGAGGTGAGCTTTGGAAGGTGACTGTACTGTGAGGGCTTCGGCGTCCTTAGTGGATTAATCTGCTGATGGATTCATAGTCCGATGACATTACCAGGAGGGGATGGAAACTTCCTCAAGGACATGGGCCTTGCTGAAGGGCACAGATCGTGGGGGTGTCATCTTGGGGACTGTATCTCGTCCACAGCCCTTTCCTCTCTGGGTCTTTCGTTTTCTCCCGGTGCGCCATGAGGTGAGGAGCTCTCCTCCGTCATACCCTTCTGCCATGATGTTCTGCTCTGCCTCACGCCCAGAAACAATGGAGCCAAGAGAAATTGCTGAGACCACAGGCTGAAATAAATCTTTCCTCCTTCAAGTTATTTTTCTCAGGTATCTTGTCACAAAATTGGAATGGTGACCAGCACAGTATGCAAACAGAAGGTGAGATAGTCAGACCCTCTTCATGGTTCTCCAGAAGCCAAACATCTTCCAAGGTCCCACTTCGCTTTCCACCACTCCCTTCTCACAAGGCACTGTTCTCTGCTTATGAGATGCCTATGAGGTTGAGGAAAGGAATCCCTGTCAGCTGGAGCCCCTGGGATTGCAGCCGAGTTCAAGGAAGCCTCAGGAACTCACCTCCTCCCAGTCCTTCCGTGACCAGGACAGCTGGTGGGGACTGGCAGAAAGGTACTCTCTGTTGGTTTCAGTGGCTTTGCCCTGTCTCTCGCCTGGCACAGTGGTACTGTCACCAGAAGCCCTGGCATTGCGGCGGGCCAAGCAGGCATTGCGGCGGGCACAGCAGCCACTGATGAAGGTGAGGAAGGAGCAGAATGAGCTGGTCCAGACCTTGCTGGAGGCCCACACCCGCTATGTAGCCACCATGTTTGACCAGTTTGTTCAGTTCAAGGTGAGACAGGATCTGGGACTAAAAGGTGACAAAAGGGTGCAGAGGGAGGTGGCCTAAGGGAAAGGGCTATGCATGTTGCTCAGCAACAGAGGACAGGCCTTCTCCAGAACCCAGCCTGGCAGCTCCTCAGTGAAGAAGCTTCCAAGACAAAGCTGGCAAGGCCTCAAGGCTGGCCCTGGGGCCAGGGCCTCCTGCTCATGTTCTGATCTCTGCAGCCTCCAGCTCACCTCTTTGGCCATCGTCAGCCTCTTCCCTCCCTGGGCCCTGTGCTACCTCTGCTCACGCACTTTGCAGGTATTAAAACCTTCATGCTGCAGCAGATTATCAAGTTCACCAAGGCTCTGCCCCTTTTCCGGTGAGTGGCCTCCCCTTATCTTTCAGGAAGTCAACACTTCATAGATTACACACCACCCCACCCTGGAAAAGCCACTAATCAAATTAACACAGCCCTCAACCTTTCCAAGCACCAGGTCTCAGATTCCCAGCTTTCTTTTCAGTGTGTGTCCATCAGGCCTGGGAGTTCAGACTTGAGTCTCAAGTGCCCCTGTTTCTTGTTCCCCACAGGTCCCTGGCCGTGGAGGACCAGCTCTCCCTTCTGAAAGGAGCAGCAGTGGAAATGTGTCAAATTGCACTCAATACCACTTTCTGTCTGCAGACTCAGAACTTCCTGTGTGGGCCTCTTTGCTATACGGTAGAAGACGCACTCCATGGTGAGGAGGTGCCAGAGAGCTAGATGCATGTATCCTTGCAGAACGGGATGTGGTGAGGAGAGGTGGAGGCTCCTAAGCCTAGTGTCTCCTGCAGCAGGGTTCCAGAAAGAGTTTATAGAGTGGATTTTTCATTTCCATGGGACGCTGAGACAGCTGCGGCTCCAGGAGCCTGAGTACGTGCTCATGGCTGCTGTGGCCCTCTTCTCTCCTGGTGAGCAGCCCCACAGCCTGGGAACTTCAGCCTCACCACCTCTGCCCAGACTTGGGCCCTTGAATTCGTCTACCCCAGTCAAACCTACTGTCTACACTATCTGCAGTCCTGGGGGCACTGTATAGGCCGCCCTCGACCTGTCCCTCCCAGCTCCCTTCTTACAGACCGGCCCGGAGTTACCCAGAGGGAAGAGGTTGAGCAGCTGCAAGAGAAGATGGCACTGACTCTGGACAGCTACATCAAGGAGCAGCGGCAGCAAAGGCCTCAGAAACGGTGGGTGGGAGATGAGGGGTGGAAGCCATGCCAGGGACGGAAGTGTTAGGGAAACACACAGCTCAGGATAAATGCTCTGTATTGTCTTCTCCTTTAGGAAACCTGCTCTCTTGGGGGGGTCTGGTCCTTCCTTTGGGCCATGCCTGTTCCACAGAGTTGCACATTCCAAGTTGTCCTTTTTGCTGTTTCTCCTCATTCTACCCCAGCCTTTTAATTCAGCAGAGATGCAGAGTAGTAGCTCCCAGGTTCTGTGGAGTAGCATTCTTGAGATCGATGACATCCATCACCTCACCTGTCCACCTTCTTCAGACTGAAGCAGATTGTGAAGAGTCTTGCTCATTCCTCTCCCTGGGCCCCTCCACTTTCTCCATTAGACCAATTCCTTGACGTGTTCATGTCCCGAGAATTTTTGTATCATTCACAGTTTCATGGCCAAACCCAGCCCCTTGTTCAGTGATCTTCCCGGACTCTGAGGTGTATACCACCTCTCTTTTTGTTCATGCCTGAGCACAGTTTGCTGGAAAGGGGACACTTTGTGCCACACAGCAACACATTCACCTTCTGGAATGCACGCTAGAATGTCAGACCCTCAGATTCTACACAGTTGAGTTCTGGCCGACTCTGGGGTTTTCTTCACACTGGGCCCTCACAGCTCTGGATCTTAGGAAAAACTAGCCGTGGTGAGAGAAGAGAGTGTCAGACAGAGGCCCACATGGGGATCTTTGGAACTTTTGATAAATCTATCCTACCAGAGAATATTCTCTCAGGTGATCAGACTTAGCTCCACCAAGGGAGTTGGGGGTCAGGGCTTCAGGACAGGACTCTCAGCTCCTTCATATCCCTCTTCTATTCCTGGAAACCTCACTGCTTCCTCCAAAGGTTTCTTTATGCAAAGCTGCTAGGCCTGTTGACTGAGCTCCGAAGCATTAACAACCAATACTGGTACCAAATCCAGCGCATCCAGGGACTGCCTGCTATGGTGCCTCTGCTCCAGGAGATCTGCAGCTGAGGCAGGGCTCACTGCCTTCCTCGCCCCACTGGACTGGAAAGGAGAAATTGCTGAGATGAGAGATTGGTGGGGGGGCAAGGGAAAGGGGGCTTAGTGATTTCAATGAACAAGTAAAGCCGTAACTGCCCCTTCATGTGGTCATTGGGGAAGCTGGGGGTGACCATGGGGGCAAAGTGCTTCTGTAAGCACAGAAGATTGGATGGAGGAAGCCTCAGGAAAAGAGGCAAAGCTGCTTCTGGCAATGGGTGGGCCCCATTTTCTGAGGTGTGGTAGTCAAGAGTTTATAGGGGAATAGATTTAATACATGGCACATAATTTTTAGGACAATTTTATAATATTCACCCAAAAAGTCAAATGCAGAAGAGTGCAGGAGATCTGTTCACACACTAGAGACACAAAGAATCCAGCAGAGGGCCTGGGTCCCATTGCAATGTCCTGCACACGTTTAGCTGAAGGCCTAGAGCCTACGGCAATGTTTCATGCAGGTCTGTATCAAGGATCTGCACTGGGAAGGCCCAAAGGTCAGGGGTAGAAGACAGAAATTCTGCACCAGTGGGATGAAGAATCTGTGCCAGCAGGCTGAGGGAGCTGCCCTGGAACCAGGAAGTGACACTCAAGGTAAAGTCCAGAGCTCCCCTGTAGAGGACCACAGCCATCCTCAGCAACAGTAAGGACCCAAGCTCTTCAGAGCTGAGTTCATATTAGGAAAACCAGTGCAACAAGCTTCTCCAAGAGAATCAACAGCACATCATGTTCCCCTCTAGTTCTCCTATTACACTGTTAGTGACAATCCTCAGGTGGGCTGTCCACACCCAGCACCACACTGATTCAGTTCAGCTGGGTGTTACAAGCTGACCATTAGCTAACCCAGCATATGAAGTGAAAGAGTTGACCCTTCAGCCCTATTTCTCAGCTTGGGAGGCTCTTAGATGGGATGGAGAGTGAATCCCAGGCAGACAGGGGAAAGTCAGCCAGACATACCTCTTTGTCCATTTCCGAGCTTCTCCAGCCCAGCACCTGCACACTGGTTACTATCCACATAAGCACAGGGAGGTTGATAGTGGGGGTGGGGTGGAAGAGAAACCCTAAAACCTCTACCTCATCAGCTGATGCTCTGGCAGCTCCAGTTCTGAAGAGCACATCATCCTGCCCCCAACTCTGCTCCTGGGAGTTACAGGTCCCCCAGCAAGGTGGGCTCTGGCCCTGTGAATCAGACGTTCTAGCTGCTTCAGGGCCTGGCTCTGCGCTAACCACAGCCTCCTGTGATGCTGAGGCCACACAGGAATCTAATGCAGCAGTGACTGAAGAAGACTGTGAGGGCCAGAGTGAAGGGTAGGCAGGTTCTTGTGCCCCTACTCAGCACCCACACTCTGGTTTCTCTCTACCCAGCCTCTACACCCCACGTTGGTTTGTGGTAACCAAGGACAAGGTTGTGTATTGTGGCTTAAACTGCACGTCAACCTGAACCCCGATTGGGCCAGGATTTCCCAGGGTCAGACTGTCTGTGTAGTCATCTCTGCAATATTCACCTTGCTGCACTGTGTGGAAGACAGCCTTGGCGTAGTGCCACTCCACCAGCACAATCAGTACCTGAGCAGTGATATGTCTGTTGTCCCTCAGTGGGCTAAGTTGCAGGTTTCCCACACGGGCTGCATGGAGGCAACAGTCCGGCAAGTGAGGATCCCCATGTGCACAGTGTGAGCCACCTGGAATGGCTGCTCAGAACCTTTTTGATGATGATCCTATTCCCTCATCTGTGTGGGGAACACGTCTAGACAGACATCTGCGTTGCTAGTAAGCTCATCGAAGTTCCTAGAGTTAGCCATGGGTTAGCTGCTGTGGGGCAAAGTACCCTTTAGTGCCCCGCTTAGTTTCTGCCCATTTGAGTCCAGAGGATAAGGAGACCATGACCATGTTGTTTCCCTTTCCCCTCACCCTACCCTGGTTATCTTGATAAGGGCAGCTGACATGAGTCCTGTTTCTTTCTTTGATCTTTTTCTACCTCATGAAATAAGGGACGGGGCTAGATTGCTTCTGAGCTCTGAAAGAGCTCAATAGCCATCCAGAGAGCCTCAGTCTGGAGAAACCCTGGTGCCTGACACATGCTCCTACATTGTGGGTTGGGCAGCCAATGCAGGAAGTGCTCAGGACATGGCTACTGTCTTGTCTGGAGGAACTCAGTCTAAATCCACTCTAACAAGGGAAACCACTTTGCATACAAACTCCTAATTCACCATTGGTTGTGATACATAACAACAGACTTTGCTTCTATGGCCTAAAGTACAAAACCAATAGTTACCACAATTGGTCAGTTTCTAAATTGTACTTATTACTAATTGTACTACAGTAGCTAGGATGTCCTATCTGTTGTAATCAGTTGTTTGCCTTTGTTGTAACAACACTGGGAAGCTCTGGAGTAATAACCACACCATAGCCCTACATAAAAAGACTGAAGACTGAGCCAAACAGAAATCAACATCTCACTCTCAAATAACTAGAAAGGCAGGATCTTGGGACAGACATAAACCAAGAATCTCCTATACCAGAAGATATCCTTGAAATACAAACTATACCTGGAGAGGCATCGATACAAATGATATAGCTACCTGTTACCAAAATTCACAAGGATCACGACAGAAATCAAAATAAATTTTTTTGAAATAGAAAATGTCAAAACAGAGGAGCAAAATGCCATCTCAGTCCTCCATCCCACCAAGAACAAATCCAGGAGACATCGACATAGAAGAAATTGGAGGTCACATTTGGAAAATTTCTGAAATGACAGCAACTGAAGTAAAGAGACAACTCTATCAGGTTATAGAAGAAATCAGATCAGAAATAATCTCTCAGGTAAAAAAAGAAATGACAACAATAATGAAAGAATTGCTCAGTATCTAAAGAAGACATAGATTAAAAAAATAGAGGTACATAGAAAAATGATGAAAATCTGGAATGAACAAAATAGGAAAGAATTAGAATGCATGAAACAGATTCAAAGAGATATCCAGGAAATTAAAAATTCCATCGGAAGCTGGCAATATTACTTGAATGAAACTGATGGTAGACTTTCAGACCTTGAAGATAGCATTGCAGCTAGCAATTGTGAAAGGAAAGATCTCTTTAAAAACAACAAGATGTCTGCCTGGCAAGCACAATGTTGTGAGTTCGATT